GCCGAGTTGGTCTAAGGCGCCGCGTTAAGGCCGCGGTCTCTCCGGAGGCGTGGGTTCGAATCCCACTCTCATCATTTCTTTTTGCTTTTGTTGCTTCCCATTTCTTACTCTCTTTTATATCAGCTTTATGTTGCATAAGCTTGTAATCTTTAACTTTTCTTTTTAACGGAGTTTTTATTTTTTATGCACTTTTGATTACCAACTGCTTGTTTTGTAAATATGTCTAAAAGCTCGTTCAAATCTTTTGCCTGGTGTGCTGCTGACCCACGCCTGCTGATGGGAAATAGTCGTTGTGCTGCCAACCCTCAGTCTGTTGCTGAAAATGTGTTGATCGATCCGCAGCTCAAGTCTCGCCCTGTTCCAACCACAGCCTGGTGGCAAAACCTGGTCATTGGTGCAGGGTGTGATCCAATCGTTCCATCGCCGTACACCGTGCGCTGCCTTGACACTGGCATTGTTGTGTCATCGCCGACTCCTCATGCGCAGGAAAAGTTTGTCGCTTCGATCTGCCACAACGACTGGACGCTGCACATGCCCGGGTGTAGTCGTCACTGGGTGTCATCCTACGATCCTCTGTCAGTCACTGTTAGCTACATACAAAATGGCCAGACTTCTGATGCTGCTGTCACTGTACCGCTTGTGCGTGGCTCTGCATTTGTCTCAGCCATCTTCAACCAGTCAGCCAGGCTGCAGCTGTCGACCATCCATGCTGTTCTTAGTGTCGACACATCTTATGGTCCAGGAACAGCTGTTGTGCGTTTGAATAGTGGGTCTGTCTGGCTGGTTGTGTGCGAGTCAAGTATTAATATTCGCCAAGAAACAGTTAATGATATTGTTTCAGACGAACCAGTCTGTGGTGCCGTTCGTCTGGCACTGGTCAGCAATGCTGGATGTAGCTCTGTGGCTGACGAGAATGCCACAGTGCTGGCTCTCCTTACTGCACGCGATGTTGTGCCTGTAGGTGGCAGTGTCAGCATTGAAGCGATTGCTGATGACAAGGCAAACTTTACTTTTTGTTGGAAGACACGCGGTTCGGGTACACCGCTTATGTATACGCTGCCACACCACCAGATGACATCTATTAGTCAAGACAGCAGTGACTTTAGATGGGTTGATGAAGTTGCTGAACATTGGACTAGTCGCGGCAGAATGCGTGCGGCACTCGGCTGCCAGTGGCAGTGGATTGAACAGCTTGAGCCATTGGGGTTCTCTGGTCAAACACCACTAAGCGACGAGGCTGTTGTACGTTTGCGCCAGCTTGTGGCTATTGACGCTCAATCGCTGACAAGTGACAAGCACTCACTGCCGCAGGATCCTTACTTTTTTGGAAAGGCTCTAGCGCGTGCAATGCGCATTGCCTTGATAGCCGACGAGGTGGGCGACACTGCTAGCTGCAATCTGGCAGTTGACCGAGCAATTGACTGGCTTGAACCATGGCTTTACGGAACCAACTCTGACCACCTTGTGTACGATACTGAATGGTGTGGCATCATTAGCAGTGCTGGTCTGGCTGATCCGATGGCGGACTTTGGCCAGGGCCGCTACAACGACCACCACTTTCATTATGGATACTTTGTGTATGCTGCAGCTGCGCTAGCCAAGCTGCGACCTGAATGGGCTGCCGAAAGACGTGATATACTGGACATCTTTGCACGCGACTACTTTAACATTGCCACCGATATCG